CTTTGTTTATTTGTCGTTGAAGTTTAATGCTCCAGTTACGCCCATGGAGATGAGCCGGGCATGGAGGGAGGTCAGGGCGGCGCACGAGGGTCGTGCCGTTTGCAACAGACAGACGCTCTTTCCTCAGAGGTCAGCCCATCCCTCTTCATCATCCCTCTGGAGAACTTGGAATAGCTCACGGGGTTTCACGTTCACCTGGCAGCCCATCGGTGTGTGGTGGAGTGCTGAGGTCTGGAGGAGGCGGGAGCGCTCGGTCGCTGGCCGGAAGCGTGCCGGGAAACGGCGCAGACGCCGTGCATGATCCTGCGACACAGGGGAGCAGCAAACGGCCAGTCGGTAATTGCTGGGTTGAGAGCTGACAGAATGAAAGGATGATCTAGTTCAAGTGCTACAAATTTATGGGAACTGCCTTCCCCCGGCGTCACGCTGTGTGTTAGTGAGAGTCTGGCTGAGGCTTGTCACTGGAGACTTCTCCTGTCGGCTGACAGCCCGTTCCGCGGGTGCGCACGTTGGTGGAGAGCTGCTCTGCTGCTCCTCGGGTACCTCTGAGTTGTGTAGAAGGGCTCCAAACGCTGCAGGAGTCGGTCAGGCTCTTTCACCTGCAGACTGCCCGTCCCCTGGGTCGAGGTCTGCCTGCTGCCCAGCGCAGCATGTAGCAACAGGCAAGTGTTAAGGTAAAGTGAAAATGAGTCAAAATGAAAATTGACACGACAAGTCATTAACTGTTAACATTTCAGTCAGTAGGAGTGAAGTTGGATAAAAGAGAGCTACCACTATTTTAGACAAATAACTTCTCTCACCATTTCATGTTAAAGACTGCCAGGTTGGCTTCACCGGTCCTGTAGCTGGTCCCTCACCTTTTAGGGACACTTGTCCTCGGCACTGCTTTCCCCAGGGGGATTTCTGTACGGCTGTGTGCTTACTACCTCCGCAGGGGTCTGTGCAGCGCCGAGCCTGCTCTGCGAGGGTCAAACGCAATTCGTCAATTCAATGTTTAATCAAGACATCAGGATTACCTTTGTTCAACCTCAGAGATTCCCTGGGCAAAAGTATATCCTGCTTAGACCGTAAATAAAACTCAGCAATGATTAGTCTCATGCTTAACTGTAAACAGATGCTTCTCTGTCTTCAGGGAGAGGTTTCATTTTGCCCGTGTGATCACAGTTAAACATCAGTGAGGAGTTTCTTTCTATCATGAAGACTGTCTTTTACAAAATTCACCATCACAGTAGGAATGGGTAGTGAAAGGTTTGAATAAGAGAACATAATAACACAGCAACACAATTCAAAGAAAGCCTTGTAAAAGCTCTTTACAGACCAGATGGGCATCAAATTAAACTGATTGATGGAGTTTCGAAAGAAAGAGAAGGAGGTAATTCTGCGCACGGCGCTGGTGAGCCACAGAGCTCGCTGCTGCAGGATATTGGAGTACGAGAAATTTGCATGAGTTCAAAGAGCACTGCCAAGCATCTGGAAGAAGGAAGTCTGCCAAGGGTTAAACTCAAAGGCAGCCTGACTCAGCCAGCTCTTGATCAGCAAGTTGCTGGAGCTGACAGAGTGCTGGGGAGGGGCGAAGCAGCGCTCCATGCTCGCTCCATGCTCGCTATCTTCTTAGATGCCTCCTCAGGCAGTTATGCAGCATGCTGGGCTAGATGTGCCTTTGATCTGCAGGACTGGAGGAGAGATGAAGAAGTGGAGTATTGAGGCAGCGTCATCAACAGAAGATAGGGATTGAGCAAGCTGCACGGAGAGGAGGAGAGGCAGATGAGTAAATGGATGTGGTTGTTTATGCAGGACTGAGATGGCAAGCACGCAGACACAGGGAGCAGAGGAACTGTGTCAGAATGGTGAGTTGCAGGTAGTGAAGAAAGCGCCTGCCAAGAATTTGCTTTCCTCCCACCTCTGCCATCAGTGATCTCTCCAGAGTGTTGATTTTCTTGCTGAGGAGCAATAGGAGACGTTCGTTTTCACAGGGAACAGACATTATTCCCACTATTCCAAGGAGTGGGGTTGTAGACGGTCAGCTTGGGAACCAGAACTGAAATGAAGCCGCTCTTCTTCTGTCATAGGTTCAAAGGCTAATTCGCATTGGAAGGAGGAGGTCTCTGATCCAACCTCCAGCTCAAAGCAGGGTCAACTATGAGATCAGATCATGTTGCTCAGGGTTTTATCCAGTCTGGTCTTGAAAATCTCCAAGGATGGAGACTGCACACCCTTTCTGGGCAGCCTGTTCCACTGCCTGAATCGCCATCATAAATTTCTCCTTTTATCCAACCAGAACCTCTCATTTCAGTTTTGCCCGTTGCCTCTTGTCCTCGCACCATGTACCACTGTGAAAAGCCTGGCTTTATCTTCTTGATAACCTCCCCGTAGGTACCAGAGGCTGCTGTTAGGTCCCCCTGAAAGCCATTCGTCTGCAGGCTGAACAAGCCCAGCTCTCTCAGCATCTCCAGACAGAGCCAGAGCTCCAGCCCTGACCGTCTTGGTGGCTCTCCACTGAACTCCCTTCAGTTTGTTGACGTATTTCTTGTACTGGGGATGTCAAAACTGGATGCAGTATTGTAGGTGTTGTCACATGAGTGGGAGTGAGAGGGATAACCTCCTTGCTCTGCCTGTTGCGTTTGGTCCTGTTCACACAGGCCAGGACGCTGTTGGCCTTTGTTGCTGAGGCACAGGGCCAGCCCATGTTCACCTCACTGCATGCCAAGCCCCCCAGGTTCTTTTCCACAGAGCTGCTTCCCAGCCAGCCAGTCCTCAGCCTGTCCAGTTGCAAAGGGTTCTCCCTTCTCAGGTGAGGGACTTTGCATCTGACCTTGTGTAAGTTCCTGGAGTTCCTGCTGGCCCATTCCTCTTGCCTGTCTAGGTCCTTCTGAGATGTCTAGCTGGTCATTGAACTTGGTAGTGCTTCAGTTATCATTTTCCATAGTGCTCCCCTCCTCATTTAAGAAAAAAAACAGAGGAGAGCTGCTTACGGCAGAGAAAAATAACAGAGTGGGGAACAGAGGGAATAAAAGGAGTAACTGTAGAAGCAGGTATGTAAAATAAACCAAAAACTAATACCCATGCCATGAATATGTTTAGATTATCTGTCCCCTTCGCCCTTCCTTCACCTGGAATACTTTGCTTTTAACACATTAAAAGATCTTCACAGCAGGGACTGTGAGCTCACAGGTAGAACGGAGGCTACCACACCTACGGCAACAGCTGAGAATTTGCAGCAGCCAGTGACTATTGGTGGTCAGTGTCTCCTCTGGCCTGGCAGCACTTGGCTCTGTACATCAGGAAATTTGAGAAAGAAGGATCAGCTTTGCAGGTTTTTTTTCCTGAAATAGCTCTGTACTCAACACAGTAGTACCTATCTACAGGATGGTCAGCACATCCCTAAGGCAAGCCCTAATGCCACTAGACCGTGTTCTGTAACAGTCTGGGCATGGTAATAGAGCTCAGTGCTGCATAAATTTCCTTGTTTCGACTCTTGACCATTCCCAGGTGAGAAGTAGAAATAAGCATAAAGGCATGACTTTTCTTTGGATTTTCATGCTGTTAAGAACACGACAGTGTCTATACTGAATCAAACCATGGCTCCATCTAGTGCAGGATCCTGTTTTAAGCATTGCTCTCAAGCAGATGCCCAGGGAAGAGTGAAAACAGGGCAAGGATGTGATATTTCTCCTGAATACTCACCCAGGCAGCTACTGTCTTCAGTTCAGAGGTTTCTGTGCACATAACAAGCCCACAAAAAGTGCATCCTCCATGGCTTTGTCCAGTCTCTCTTTGAACTTGTTTTGTGCTTCCAGTTCATTATGCTGCCTTGATATTAAAAACCCCCAGACTGTGTTCAGCAAAAATAGCATGGCTTTGAACACAGTGATAGTCTGATCAGTGTGATGAGATGTAAAGTTCAATGCTCACTGGCCAAATTATTCCCTGTTTCCCCCAGCGGACTCTGCATCTGCAGGCATTTGTTGAAATTCCTAATGTAATACAAGGCACAGTTGCCAAAGCACTTTGAATGCTGGTGGACATTACAGAAAAAGCATTAGAGCCAAAAAAGCAGGTGGTCACCATGCTGCTTTTCCAAGATGTGGCTTTCTGCCATCTTGAGCATTCTCTCAAGAGCAATTTGAAATCTTGAAAACAGCCGAATTGTGGCTGAAAAGAAGGAGGTATGGCAAGGAAGTGATGAGTGTAGCAAAGCAGGACCTGGTGAAGAGGAACAGGCTGATGCAGATGGCTGGAGCAAGCCAGGCTGGTTAACTGCATCCATGCAAGTACTTGCACCGTACTTGCTGTATTAATGGATTTTTCCTCCTATTACTTTACTTGGCAAGATTCTCATACTCTCTTACTGAGTATTACAAGTACCTGAAGAAGCTCTCACTGTGCAGCCAGGTAGTAAGTGAACAGTAAGAACAACAGAATCTGGCTTCCTTGGGTACTTCCAATTCTTGAAATATGTAAATTAAGTTTCTGCTAGACCCTGCTTTTGAATTCAGTCTAGCACATCAAAGCATATGTAACCCCTTGGGGGAGAGGGGGGAAGTGTGACATGAGAACAGAGAGCGGGAGAATGCGAGAACCCGCGCATGGGAGATGGCACTGTTGAGTTGCACAACCTGGTTGCACTCGGCTGTCTCACACGTTGGCAGTTGGGTGTTGGGAGGTTTGATCAAGCACGTGTTCAATTCTGTCACTGTTGCATTGGTCTGGAGGGTGTTCAGCCTGGTTGGAAAGCATTGGGCACAACTGTCTGATGGATTTAGAACAATGTAAGACATTGTGAGAGTCTGTGGCTGCCCTTCCGTGCCAAGCGAACATGAGCAACGGGCAACTGCAAATGCTGGCAGCAAGCAAATAAAAGATGAAGTGAAAAGTCACCTCAGAGAGAAAGTGGCATGGGGGGAAGAAAGGGATGTCATATATCCAGTTTGCAGTGACTGTCGCGCTCTGGGTTCTCTGAAGACGTCCTCTCTGACTTCACTGCTCTTCTTTTTTCCCAGGTGAAGACGAGAAACTTGCTGCTTCTTTGCTAGATGGGAAGTTTCCCCGGAGCACATCGATGCAAGACACTGTCAGGGAAGGGCATGGGATTCCACCCCCACCTCAAACAGCCCCGCCCCCACCTCCTTCTCCGTATTACTTTGACACAGGCCCCCCTCCATCCTTCTCGCCACCTCCACCCCCAGGAAGAGCTTATGATACCATAAGATCAAGCTTTAAGCCAAGCCTGGAGGCTAAACTCCATGGACTCCCACAAGTCATTAGCGCAGCTGAAATGTATGATCAGGCGAGGACTTCCATTCCTTACCCTGAAAGGCAGAAGAGGGCTCGATCCATGATTATCCTGCAGGATTCCTCTCATCTTCCCGTGGAACCAACAGAGATCCCCCGGCCTGGCCCATCTGCAACCCCTCCAGAGAAGCTGAAGAGGAAGGGGAGAGTGATTGACAACCCTTATGCCAACATGGGTCAGTTCAATGTCAGCCTGTTTGCTCCCACCAAGCCACAGAGGAAGAAGAGTCCTCTTGTTAAGCAGTTACAAGTGGAGGATGCACAGGAGAGAGCAGCACTGTCCATCACCGGAGGCTTTACAAGGGAGCCCTCTCCCACCCGCAGGAGCCATCGCCTGAGCGGAGTGGAATATCAGCACCACACTGGCATTGCTCAGGTTGAAGCCACAAGCATCCCCTTTGCCACTGCCATCGCTGGAGTCATGAAGGACAGAGACCGTCGTCTGGATGAGAGGCGGAAATCCACTGTCTTCCTCTCGGTTGGGGCCATCGAAGGAAGCCCCCCCAGCAGCGACATGCCATCCTTGCAGCAGTCCAGGTCTATTGATGAGCGGTTGTTAGGAAGCCGAGATGTACTACTGCCTTCCCCTGTCTCAGCTTTAAAGCCATTAATTAGCAGCTCATCCTCAACGTTCATCCACCCCCTAACAGGAAAGCCCTTGGATCCGAACTCACCACTGGCACTTGCGCTGGCCGCAAGAGAACGGGCCCTCTCCACTCAAGTCCCATCCCGGTCGCCCACCCCGATCCACAGCCCAGACTCAGACAGAGCAGCACCCCTGTTTGTGGACATCCAAACCAAAGAACCAGAGAGGGAGGAGTTGGAGAGCTTGGTGTCCCCTGCGTACTCACCTGGAGGCAAAGGGGCAATCGGAACAGACTCTGGGACTTTGGCCCCTACTAAGAGCCAGTGGGGGACTCCATCCACACTGAGAAAAGAAACCGAGGCGAGAGCAGAAACACCTGGGAAGGAGGAGAAAAAACAAGAGGACAAGAAGTCCATGATTATTAGCATAGTGGATACATCACAGCAGAAGACCGCTGGCCTCATCATGGTTCATGCCACAAGTAATGGCCAAGACGAGATAGGACTTGAGGTAAAAGAGGAGAAACCAGCTGTCCCTGAAGCATGCGCAGAGCCAGTAGAGTCCCCCAAAGCAGAGACCCAGCCCAGTCCCGTGGGAAAGCCTCCCGTCAGTCCAGCCTCTGACAAGACGTTGGGACAAGGGAGTTCGGAGGAGGAAGTGGAGCCCTACACGGTTACCCTCCCACCAGCTCAGTTGTCTTCGAGTGATGAAGAGACCAGGGAGGAGCTGGCCAAGATAGGGCTGGTGCCTCCACCAGATGAGTTTGCAAATGGGGTACTGGTCACCACCCCTGGCACACCAGTCAGCCACCTGGCTACGCCTAGCACGCCATCCATACCAGCGGCAGCAGGACGGTAGCACCTTCTACCACTGGCGGAACACCCTCAGGGAAGCCCTCTGATGCCCCCGTAGCCCCAGAGTCTGCTGCAGACTCGGGAGTGGAAGAGGTGGACACCAGAAGTTCAAGTGACCATCACCTGGAGACCACAAGCACCATCTCTACGGTCTCCAGCATGTCTACGTTGTCCTCAGAAAGCGGGGAGCCTACTGACACATACACTTCCTTTGCGGATGGACAAACTTTTATACTCGAGAAGCCACCAGTGCCTCCAAAGCCAAAACTCAAGTCCCAGCTCAGCAAGGGGCCAGTTACTTTCAGGGACCCACTTTTGAAGCAGTCTTCGGACAGCGAGCTCATCTCCCAGCAACATGCGGCCACTCTGGCATCAGCCAGCATTGGCCGGCCACGCTACCTCTTTCAGAGAAGGTCCAAGCTATGGGGGGACCCCATGGAGAGCAGGCCAATCCATGGGGCTGATGATGACAAGCCAACTGTGATCAGTGAGCTAAGTTCCCGACTACAGCAACTGAATAAGGATACACGATCACTGGGGGAGGAACCAGCCGGGTCCACGTTAGATCCCGGGAAGAAGTCACCTGTGGTCGCGGCACGGTAAGACGCTGGTCGCTGGCCAGGGGAGGGGGCGGGTGCAGGGCTTAGGCACCCAGGGGGACAGGGAGGTGCGTAAGCAGAGCGTAACTGTGCCGCATAATCCAGGGTGTGTTTTGAGGGGGATTTCAGAGATGTCAGGGCTTCTCAGCTGCACAGGGAGAGGCAATGCTGAGACATGCTTTCCAGAAGTTCCTGTGATTTGTTCATGGCTCCTCTCTACGCACCACACACGTAGCGAGCTCGCACTGTTGCTTTTTCCCTTTAAATTGCCTTCCTGTTGTTCCATGTTCCTCCTCTGTCTCGATGCTGTTGTTAAGCTGCTGTATTTAGTCCTGGGTTTCACTTCTAAATGTTTACTCCTGAACAATTAATAACAATGTGTGTTTCTCTAGTGCTTTTCATTTCAAAGGATCTCCAAATGTTGTCAGACTCCGTATTAGAGCTCCGGTCAGTCACCGCTGAGCGGGAGCCGTCACGAGGGTGGTCTGTGACAGCCCTTAGGAAGGACACAGCAGCACCAGCCCGGCCTTTGTTCACTGAGGCAGAGCTCGGCGCCGGTTCTGGAACGAGCCAGCTCTGGGGACCTGCAGGGAGGTGTTCTGGCAGGGCGCAGCTGGGGGGTGTCACGCGTGGCTGCGGGC